CTCCCTTTCTCAAGGGTCCCCCTTATGCAACACTCTCCCCACCTCTGGTAGGGACTGCAGCCTGAGAACTCCTTACCTCCACAAGGAGGGCCCCAACAGTGGACTTCACCATGCCGAACTGGTTGCCCACCGACCGGTAGCTGTCTGGGGTGGTGAACTTCCAGAGGGCTATGGTGACCCGCTTCTCCAGGGGTATGGCGGGGGAGGTAGGCACACAGCTCCAAAAAGGTGGCCTTCTGCATACAGAAGTTTTGGAGCCACTGCTGGTCGTCCCACTGCTCCATGACCAGCCGGTCCCACCAGTCCGAACTGGTGTTGAACCTCCAGAAATGCCTCTCCACAGTAGGGTGCGGTTGCCAGAGTGGCACAGCCACAGCCAAGGAGAGGGTCCCCAGAATGAGCTCTGGGTCCAGGTCGTGCAGGACCAGGAAGGCTGCTGGCAGAAAGTGCTGCAAATACTGCAGCATGGCTGTGTGAAGCCATCACATGCTCAGGTACAGCTCTTTCATAGATTCATAGACTTTAAGGTCAGAAGGGACCATTATGATCATCTAGTCTGACCCCCTGCACAGTGCAGGCCACAGAGTCTCACCCACCCCTCCTAGAATAATCCTATATCTCCAATATTGAAGCCTTAAAATACTTTGAAGGTCCCAAGATGCAGAGAGTCCTCCAGCTGTGATCTGCGCCCCATGCTACAGAGGAAGGCGAAAAACCTCCAGGGTCTCTGCCAATCTACTCTGGAGGAAAATTCCTTCCCGACCCCAAATATGGAGATCAGCTAAACCCTGAGCATGTGGGGCTGCAAGTTTTTGTGACCTATTGTGGTTAGTTCCTGTATCACAGCTTATGTAAGTACATTTTAAGGAGATAAAGTAAATTGCAGTGGTGAGTGATTTCCATAGTAATACTATACATCCTTTAATAGGACATTTTGGCAATAGAGATTTCTGCTTCCCATAGTACCTAATGATTTGGTGATACACGTACTAACTAAGGCTGGAAAATGTTAAGTGGTGATCATAGAATCATAGAACTGGAAGAGACCTCAGAAGGTCATAAAGTCCAGCACCCTGCTATAAGCAGGACCAATTCCAACTAAATCAACCCGGCCAGGGCTTTGTCAAGCCGAGACTTAAACACCTCTAGGGATGGAGACTCCACTACTTCCCTAGGTAACCCATTCCAGTGCTTCACCACCCTCCTAGGGAAATAGTTTTTCCTAATATCAAAACTAGACCTCCCCCACTGTAACTTGAGACCATTGCTCCTTGTTCTGCCATCTGTCACTACTGAGAACAGCCTCTCTCCATCCTCTTTGGAACCTCCCTTCAGGAAGTTGAAGGCTGCTATCAAGTCCCCCCTCACTCTTCGCTTCTGCAGACTAAACAGACCCAAGTCCCTCAGCCTCTCCTCATAAGTCATATGCTCCAGCCCCCTAATCATTTTGGTTGCCCTCCGCTGGACCCTCTCCAATGCGTCCGCATCCTTTTTGTAGTGGGGGGCCCAGAACTGGACACAATACTCCAGATGTGGCCTTGCCAGAGCCGAATAAAGGGGAATAATGACATGTCTGGATCTGCTGGCAATGCTCCTCTTAATGCAACCTAATACTACATTAGCCTTCTTGGCTACAAGGGCACACTGTTGACTCATATCCAGCTTCTCATCCACTGTAACCCCCAGGTCCTTTTCTGCAGAACTACTACTTAACTGGTTGGTCCCCAGCTTGTAACTATGCTTGGGATTCTTCCGTCCCAAGTGCAGGACTCTACATTTGTCCTTGTTGAACCTCATCAGATTTCTTGCGGCCCAATCCTCCAATTTGTCTAGGTCACTCTGGACCCTATCTCTGCCCTCCAGCGTATCTACCTCTCCCCCTAGCTTAGTGTCATCCGCAAACTTGCTGAGGGTGCAATCCATCCCCTCATCCAGGTCATTAATAAAGATATTGAACAAAACCGGTCCTAGAACCAAACCTTGGGGTACTCCGCTAGAAACCGACCGCCATCCTGACATCGAGCCGTTGATCACTACCCGCTGGGCCCGGCCTTCTAGCCATCTTTCTATCCATCTTACTGTCCATTTATCCAATCCACATTCCCTTAACTTGCTGGCAAGGATATTGCGGGAGACCGTATCAAAAGCCTTGCTAAAGTCAAGGTATATAACATCCACTGACTTTCCCATGTCCACCTGGCTCCATGACACCAAGAGAAAAGCTGTGGCATCCAAAAAACCCAGGACAACCACAGCAGGCACTGCTAATGCTTTGCTGTGTCTCGCTGAGGTAGCAAGCATGCATGCATGCAGCAGAAGCAGAGAAATGGCTGTCCAGAGGGGTCTCTTTAAGCACATGTCTCTGCAAGTCTCTGACACCCGCGCTCAGAAGCAACTGGTGACTTAAAGGCCTGGCTGAAGTGATTCCGGGTGGACTTTTATGTGAGCTACCATCCAATCAGTCTGGAAGCTATCTTTTCCAAAAGTGCATTGCTTTTTCAATGTGCTTTTATGTGTGGATGCTTTCTTTCACAAAAGTTTTTTTGGAAGATCTCTTCTATTCTCTTGTGCAAAAAGCCTGCAGTCTAGATGTAGCCTCTGACTTGCTTGGTTCTCTTCCTTAGGGTGTGTCTAGACTACAGGGTTTTTTCGAAAAAAGTGGCCTTCTTTTGAAAAAACTTCCCCTGCGTCTAGACTGCTGCTGCGTTCTTTTGAAAGTAAATCGAAAGAATGCAGCAGTTCTTTTGACCGCAGAAAACCTCGTTTTATGAGGAAGAACACCCTCAAAAGTCCTCTTTCAAAAAAGGGTGCTATGTAATGCAAACTGTGCTTTTTTGAAATAGAGCATCCAGACTGCCTGGGTGCTCTCTTTTGAAAAAGCGGCTTGCTTTCTCAAAAGTACTGGCTGTAGTCTAGATGCTCTTTTTTGAAAGAGGCTTTTTCAAAAGAGGCTTTCAGTCTAGATGTAGCCCCAGTCTCCTACTCGCTCACTGTAAAATGGGGATAGTAATTGAGGAGCGTTTCTTGAAGCTTAATTCTTTATGTGCTTTGAGATCTTTGGATGGAGAACACTATAGATGTCTATAGCATTAGTATTGCTGCTGCACTGTCAACTGTGTTTCTCTGGTAGTGTTCTGAGTCTCTCTTCCTCATGACCGTTCACTTGTTTCCAGTTTCCTTTATTTCCACCATCTTCGTATCTGCTTCTAAGGCTTCCTCCTTTATTCTTCCTGTAGGAGCTCACCTTCTGTTAAAGCTATTAAAACATTCCCCTCTGGAGAGGAATCCGAAAGAGTGAAAGCTGTCCGTTATCCCACCAACCGTTTTCATCCATTGTAGAATAAGTGATTATATAAATGCCTTTGTGGAACTTAGACTTGTAAATTATATGGTTATCCGAGGTTTCCAGTGTTCAGATTTTCAATATGTACCTTGTGTAAGGAATTGTGTAAGGAATACAGATTTACATTGTATAAGGGATACTTGGGAAGGCAAATAGAGAAGCAACTTTTAATTCTGCTGAACTTTTTGTATTGCAGAGATTTTTATCCCCATGTCAGCACATAAGAGAAAGCAAACCAGGATACGTTCATGAACATTTCATAAATCCTCAAGGTGAAGGGCATGAGTCCGCCACTAAGGCCAGGTTCCTCCAAGGTATTGAGGTTCCTAAGTTGAAGTGGGAGGATCTGGGCTTGACTAGCTAAGGTTTGGGAATGAAATGTCTCCTACGGGGAGGTCGTTCTACTATCCCAATAATTGTTTTGGCTATGTGGCACAGGCTATTAATCAGGCAAGGCATGAGGCTAAATGGCCCACTGTTCTGATCCAGAATTGCAGTTCCTATGATCCTACATTGTTGTTATATTTTTCTAACAGGATCATTCCTATCGCTCCCTGCCAGCAAGAAAAAGAAAGCATGAACACTAGTATTAATACTTGCAACATTAAAATATAGACTTGCTTACACGATTGTATAAAAAGAATAGTTATACCCATGGTAAGACACTTTTGCCACTTTTTCTATTTTGACTTGCTGTGCCAAGGCCATGTTCTCATCTCATTTAAAGCTGTATAAACGTCCTCACTCCCATGCATGCAGCAGATCTGAGTGGTGTGTGTGTTCTGAATGAACATCTTTGCTGTTTTTTCAAGCTGTTTATGTGGTGGATAAGAAGAATCGAGTTCTGTAGTTAGCCAAGTACACTCTAGTAAGAGACGATTCATCTTGTTACAGTGCAGACATTTCCTGTATGTTTGCAATAAGGGTGAAGAAGAGCAGTTCTTTGCTATTTAAACCCCTGGAAAGAAGAAAGACATATAGCAGTTTAGATTAGCAGCAGACTACAATGTACATTGTATAAAAATGTCAGTCTTAATGTCAAAGTTCAGGATAAAACTGTGTCAGCTAATTTAATCATTTACCATGAAATACCAGTTATCTTAATCTTACATGCAGTCCTTAAGTCGGCTGTGTATTTTTGTGTAATTGAATCCTGACCCTAAAAGAGAGGAATCAAGGAATTTGCTTTTTAGTGAAGCCTAACTATTCCAATTTAAAAATTATATTCACAGCATTGTCAAATAATTTGATACTGAGCCGCTAATATTTCTCACAAGTGTATTTTTATCTGTTTCCTATTTATTTTCTATACTGTTAAAAGTCATATTAAATATTCACTTTCTATGGAACTTAACTAAGTTCTCTGGAAAAAGTACAAATGTTGTTCCCAGAACTTAAGACAGATAAATTAGTATCTAACCCAAATGACAGATTTTGAACATGTGGTTTGTTTTTCCTCTAGATACGTATTGTATTACTGCAGCAACAAATACAACAAGGCCAAGATGTCTTCATTTTCCATCAGAGCAAGAAGTATAGAACAATGTGATCGAGGCGTTGGTCTTCTGTGGCCAGCCGGTCTGAACCCTTCAACAGCTGTGATGAGCAGAACAGAGATGGGAAAGCAGGAGGCAGTCAAAGCCAAAGAAGGCTTCACCCTGAAGCTGTGTGAATGACTGAAGCAGAGCAAGGACCCAAGGAAAGCCCAGCAGCAAGGGAAAAAAACAGATTGACTCTCAGTGACTCATTTAGCTCCTGGATTGGACAGATCTCTCCCCTGCTGGCAGTTTGGCTGAGTATCAATGGGACAGATACCAGGATGAATAGCTTAAAATAATTAGGGGGCCAATCTGCAAAACTGCTTTCATCCAATTCTTTACTGTGTGATGAAAGACACAAAACAAATTACATTTAGATTATTAAATATTAAGCCACTGGATTTACCTCCATTTGGTCCAAAGCAGGAAATTGGATAAAATTCAATTTTATATCATTGTGTTGATGGCCTGTTTATCATCAAATGAGTGAGTGTTTTTTGGCAGGTCAGACTCTTTGACACATGGGAAAAATAGGTGTTTAATTTAAATGAGAATTAATGCAATCATAATTAACAAAAATGTGAACAGAATCAAATGTAGGCGAGAGTTTAGTTTAATGCTTAGCAGTTTAAACTATGTGTTTGAGGACACATCCTGCTTCAAGTGAAGACAATGGCAATACAGCCACAGAATTCAATGGAAACCAGAGTAGGCCTTGTAAGTAGACAGGCAGGATTCCCTGTACTTTATATTAAATGCACAAAAACAGAAGCAACAAGCTCGTTTAGTATCAGTAAAGGTCAGTTAAAATTATAGAGACATCCTTTGGAGCAGATCTTCTGCCTTATATTTGCATATTTATGAACTAGAGATTATGACAAGCCAATCCATTTATTAGAGCAGTGTTGCTATAGTTAATAGTCTGTCAGCATTTCCATTATAAACCCCGTTTTTCAGTGTTTTAATCTCTCAGCCTTTTGAAATCCCATCAGAAAGCAGCATGGCCCTTGTGTTGTCAAGCCACGTGTGTTTTTTAAACATTTTAAAGAAAAATGTATTTAAACGAATTCAGCCATGTCTGATTGGGCAAATGGTGGAACTCAAAAGATTTGTGGGATTTTTATTTATTTATTTTTTTAGGGAGATTTTGACAATCACTTCTTCTCTCACCACCAGAGTTTGAGTTGTCGTTGAAACTATCTGCTGTCTTTCTGTTGTTCACTTGCTTCCCATCTTCTTTGGGACAATTCATTCTTCTTTCTCCCAGCTTATCCTCAGGTCTCTTTTCTACACTCTGAGTCATGTTATTTCCCCCAAATCCTCCTCATGTATCCAGGATGTGTGCCAGCAAAGTCACACTTCTTGGATTTTGTCAGCCACCTCACAGACATTGACTTCCATCCTAATGCTTTCATTTTGAAGTCCATTCACATAACTCTTTTTTATTATGCAAAGACAGTTCACCTCAAACACCTGTCGGCATTGAACCTGCTGTATCGTATCATACAGCACTGGAGAGTACGCCAGTGTTCTATACACTTGGAATCTCAGCTAGGAGGTCATTCCACACTCTTCCAGCACTCTCGAGTCTCATGTTCAAGCTTGCTCTTTTCTATAACCCAGCTGCCAAAGTACTTGAACTGGTCAGTCTGGTTTAGTCATGCTACCCAATTTCTCTGTGGCACCTCTACTGATACCCATGACCTCAGTCTTAGTCATGTTCATTTTCATTCCATGCCTGCTTAGCTGGTTATAGTGCTGATTTACTTTTTCCTCTAGGTGCTCTTTCGAGGATGCTCTTCTTATTGCTGTATCAACTGAGTCTAGCAGCTTCTCACCTTTTTGCATTGGGTTCTTCTTGCTGACATAGGCCATCAGTATGATAAACAGCAGTGGACTGAGAGCTGACCCTGGTGCAGTCTGACTTGCACTTCAAAGGGATTGTCATTCCAATACATGTTCAGATCGCTGTTTTTAGGTGATGTACATAGTGCGTTCGCCATAAATATTAAATCCTCAGACACTCCATATTTTCTCTGCATTGGTGTGAGCATCCTTGTGTCCACTTTTTTGACAAACCCATCTATCAAAAACATTTTGAAGTTTTGAAAAATAACATTTTGCAAGCAGCTAGTATCTAAAGGGAACATCAGTCCTTCGGGCAAAGTCGAAGTTGCTGGAGCACTTATCAGACAGTGACATCACGCTGGTCTCAAACATGTGCAAACTACTGTGGCTGCACATGCTGCCCTGTGCCCTCACTAATTTCTTGGCAGCCAAAGCATTAGGCTAGGGGTGACCACTAGGAAAAGAGAGGATGTGAGACAGCGGGGGTCACATTAAGGTGAATGAGATGCCTAGAGTAACACAAGCAGCAGGGACAGATCCACATTGTTGCCTGGTAGGATGGAGAGTTTTGAAAGCAGCATCCCTGTAGTTGATTCTTCTACTTCTTCTGATAAATTGATTAAGACCAGCAATATGGACTTCTGATATTTTGGAATATAACTTTTAGTACTTTGCCGAGCTTTTCCTATTTACCCTGCATGCAATATAGAGACAAGCTGTACCATTCTCTTGCTTCTTTGAACTTCTTACTTACTTTACATGTCCCCAGCTTGTGTCCAGCAGAGAAAGGAATTCCATTTATTGCCAGCTCCCTGGCAGAGTACAGACTGATTATTGCAAGACCAGGAAAAGGCGTAAAGTGATGAAATTTTAAAAATAGCTCTTCAATAAAAAGAGCTGGATCTTGTAATTCTACCTGCTTCTAAAGAGTACCCAGGAAGAGGCAAAAATGGAGGAGAACAGGCCTTCGCCTGAGAATACAGTCTTTCCCATCATTCTTGCCGTAAGATACTGGGACAACTGATACTCTGGAGACCAAAGTGGGATTTATAGAACTAATGCAAGGAAGTTACCCCAGACACATCATGCACGATGCACTCATTGTGTCACATCTTATAAAAGCACCAAACTTGCAACCAAAACTCTACAAACTTTTAGTTATAAAAGCTATAACTGAAATAAAAGACAGGACTATGCAGCACTTTAAAGACTAATAAGATGGTATATTAGGTGATGAGCTTTCGTGGGCCAGATCCACTTCTGAGGAAGTGGGTCTGGCCCATGAAAGCTTATCACCTAATATACCATCTTGTTAGTCTTTAAAGTGCTGCATAGTCCTGTCTTTTGTTTCAGCATGACCAGACTAACACGGCTACTACTATATAACTGAAGTAGGAACTTTTAGTTATAAAAGCTATGCTACATATACACTTTTTAAAGTATGGGACAGCCAAAGTCTCAGGTCTTTAAACCTCCAAAATTTGGGGGCAGTTAAATACAAACAGATCCAAACTTTATGTCTCACCCATCTCTGTAATGTGTACAGTCGAAAATCTGGAACAAGGCATCACAGTCAAACCTCTGGAAAAATGTGGGTGCATCTCAAAATAGCTCCGGCTTCTCTTTGCTTCTTTAAAACAATGGTATTTGCCACAGTGATTCCTAATTTCGGAAAAAGGTACACAAATTGTAGAGCACAATTTGCGTACCTTTTGCTAATAGGTTTTTTCTTATCAGAAGTAGGCAGACCAAAGAATTAGGACTAATGCTTCCTGATTGTCTTATTTAACTTATTTAACTCTACCCAGCACATCTGAAAGAGGAGAGGGTTCCACATCTGTGTAGTCCATTTTATAGTCATACCTTTCTCCCTACTAAAGAAAGCCTTTTTTTAAAGCCTTGGATAGCAGTGATTTTTTTGTTTCTCTGTTCCATCCAGAATAAAAACTGTAGACACTAGAATTAGGTGTAGTTTGCTACAGATAAAATAAAAAATAAAACTTTTTTTTAAAGTGTTGTCTAATATAGCAGTAATGAAGAGACTGCCAAGTATGTGTTCAGAAATAGAGCATGCACTATTATATGTAATATGATGGAGATGCATTCTGTAACTTATCTAAGTGTTCACTACTATCTTTTATTTTTACATTGCAGTGAAATAAAAAGACTTGCACAACTGATTTTAATCTGTCCCTGTATATTAAAAATACAAATTATTATGTAATTAGTCGCAATTGTATGTGTGCAATTGTGGGTGTGGTGAGTATGTAGCTTGAATGCCAACATTCATCTAGGCTATGTCTAGACTGCAAGCCTCTTTAAAAAGAGGCTCTTTCGAAAGAGAGCGTCTAGACTGCATGTTGAACTTTCGAAAAAGCGGCTTGCTTTTTCGAAAGAAAGCATCCAGTGAGTCTGGATGCTCTCTTTCGAAGAAGCCCTATTTACATTGAAGAACGCCTTCTTTCGAAAGAGGAACTTTCGAAAGAAGGCGTTCTTCCTCGTGAAATGAGGTTTACCGCCATCGAAAGAAAAGCCGCGTTCTTTCGATTTAATTTCGAAAGAACGCGGCTGCAGTCTAGACGCAGGTGACGTTTTTTCGAAAAAAGGCTACTTTTTTCGAAAAAACCCCTGAGTTTGGACACAGCCCTAGATATGAAGTTATACAATTATACCAAAACATTCACCTTGTGTGGGTGCAGTAATTATATTTTACATTAAACTAAGTCATACCTGTATTAACAAAACAGAACATAGTGTTTTTATCTTCCCACTGAAGTAGATTATAGCAAAGGATTATGATAACAGTATTACCAGGGTATAGCATCTTTCATCTAAAAAGGACTTGATAGTCCTTTACCAACATAAATGTGACACAGAAACAACACACAAAAATCACTTCATCCAACAATGAAATGAAGCCACCGCTGAGTGGAAATGCTGCAAATGCAGAATAATGCACAGCAATACTACACTATAGTTTTATGCACGAACTGAAAACTGCCATGGCAAATTGAAACTGCTGGGAGAATTTTTAAATAGACAGGATGTAATTATTTTAGTTAGAATTTGGCCTGAACCCTGGGATTTATAATCCTCTGTCTCACAAAACATTTCAGGAGTCTGAAATCCATAGTTCAGATTTTAAAAAAACTTTGAAATTTCACCAGATGCATTACATTTTAATGACTGAAATATTCTGCAAGCTTTCGAATCCTGAAATCTGTAAGGAAGGTTAAAGAGAGCCGCACTATAACTCGGATGTTTCTCTTTTGTGTTTACCCCTGAGTTTCTGGGTTACAGTGAGCAGAAGTGCTCAAGTGCAAGTGAGTTTGTTAGCCAGCCTCTGGAGAACAAGTGACTTCTGTTAGGATGCTTAAGATATGTGCTCTATGAACCCATAATAATTTCTGGCATAGGGCAAAAGTCTTTGGTGGCCCAAGTGCAAATCATTTTTACACATTCATCATTTGTCCAAGATGTGGAATGTCTACTAACATTTATGGGCATTCCATCCAGCTGCAGATTATGCAATAGAGATGTGCAAGGCAGATAAGAGATCAACAGTACAGCTCAAAAAGGTGATCTTCCTCTTTAGAGCATATTTGTACCCTTGTGTTTTTTGCAAATTGTCCTGTTTAATTAATGCATTTTCTCTCTTTTGATATGGCTCCAAGGTGAAGAAACCCATAGAAGACTGATATGGCAAAAAAAAAATCACTAAAAATGCCTGCTTATTGTAAACACACTAAATCCCAGTTGCTGGAGCTGGGCCTTTTCCTTAACATGGCTGGGATAGAGTGAGTTGCCTTCCAAGGATAAAGAAGATGATCATTTTATCTGTGCATATTCAAGGCTGAGGATCTTGAATGTGGTTTAGCAGGGTAATAAAATTATTCCTGATATAATTCAACTGCTTTCAAGAAATACATGCAGAGATGTTGAGGAAATTTCAGAAGAAAACATACTACAGACAAGTTAAAAATTAGTAGTGATTTGAATTTGTTCCCAAAAATTACTATTGCTAAATAACAAGTAGGTCTGTGGCACCTTAGAGACTAACAAAAATACATATAGCATCAGGAGTTTTTGTGGTCAAAACCCACTTCTTCAGATGAGTGGGTTTTGCCCACAAAAGCTCCTGATACTATATATATTTTTGTTATTCTCTAAGTGCTAGTCTACACTAGGGCATTATTTTGAAATAACCGCCCCTTAGGTCGAATGTATAACTGGAGCATCCACACTACCACGCCCGCTTATTTTGAAATCTGTACTCCTGCTTTCCTCAAGGAATAACCCTAATTTTGAAATATTTCTTTCGAAATAGCATTAGTGTGGATGCTCTGGTGCTGTGAATTCAAAATAATTGGCCTCCACAGGCCTCTCGCAGCTGTAGCTCTGACCACTCTAGCCACACCTGCTATCTCCACTGCTCCCCTCCTCCTGTGGAGCTTAAAAGTCCCATCAGCAGGAGAAGGACATGTCCCAGGTGGCAAGCTGCGAAAGCCGCATTGGAGACAGCAGCAAGTGAGTCAGCCATGAGAGATTCCAATGCTTCAGCAGACCCTCCCAAAGCTGCCAGCACTCCTCCTGCTCCCTCAGCTGCCGCTTCTAAGGGACACAGGAGAGCTCCGGCCCGGACTGGTGTGGAGATCTTGGACCTTATCAAGATCTAGGGAGAGAAGACCAAACTCCAGGATCTCCACACAAGGAAGAGAAATGCAGAAGTATACAGCCGAACTGCCGCCAGCCTGGCTGACAAAGGCCATACCTGGATACTCGACCATTTGTAGTGGGGACAAACTATTTCAATTTTGTTAAATCAGGAGTCATTATGTCAATTTTAGTAATTCAAAATAATTTCCTAGTGTAAGCATGGCCTACGGTGCCACAGGAATACTCATGCTTTTTAAAGTTACAGACTAATATGGCTGCCCCTCTGAGACTTTTTATTGCTCGATAGAACATCAAAACTTTAAGGCTGCTTCCAGTTTCTCCACAATAATATTGGAGGTCAAGGAGCTTCTTTAAAAACTTAATTTGGTCAAAGTTTTAAGGAATTTGCTATCTTTGTTTGAATTAACTAATCTGCTGTCAAGGTAGCTGCGCACCATTTGCCACATTCGCAGCCACAGAGGTCCCATAGTAATGGAGAAATCTATTAATGTGTAATGTATTATATATGTATTGCCTATGGTTTAGTGTTTTATGGTGTGGAGGATAGGCTGCTTCATGTTGAATGAGAGCACTTTGGGGAACAACCTGAGCTTTCTGTGAAACCCCCATGTCTCTTAGTCTGTCTGAAACATGCGTGAGAAGTATCTCAGTTTCCCTCCTTTTTTCTATATAACAAGAAATCTCTATTTGTTATTCCCCAAATTGCTTCCCCAAAACACAAAACCAGCTCTGGACACTTTTAGTCTAATTGCAATTTCATTTAGAGCCTGATCCAAAGACTGTTGAAGTCAATGGAAAAGATTTCAATGGGTTTTAGATGTCACACCAATGTAAATCCACTGAGCTAAGCTGAGATATTCCTGATTAAAGTGGATGTAAGTGAGGAGAGGATCAGGCCTGTAAACAATCCCTACCAGTAACTGTTTGACTGGATCTATTCTCTCACCTAATCAGGCATCTCATAGGTGTTCGGGACAGGACACACTGGGATTCTAAGCTTTGCAGCTCCAATTTGCTTGAACCAGCCATGTCTTCTAGATAGAACTGTTGAGGCAGAAAGTTTTCTCCTGCACCTCCCATATTGCTCCCTCAGGGCAGCTCACCACAACTTACACTTTCTTTGCTTCTTGAATGTTTGAGATTTACATTTACTTGTGAAATGGGCTTGCTGTGAAAAGACTCTGGAACTTCAACCCTGTGAGGATTTTATTCTTCCCAGATAATTCTTCCAAAATCCAAAAGGCAACCTTGAAAAAACCCCCAAAAAGTCAATCTACAAGAAAAGGTGCAGATTTGTTTATTAACATTTCCAGGAAGACAGGATTTTGACTTGCTGTGAACTCACTTTATAGTGAAACAAATATTGAAGTTGACACATACATTATAGTGAACACATATTGAAATGGCTTAATCAGAAAAGTTTGTTGGAGTTTTTTTTTATGATGGATAAACCCAATAAATTTAAGCTGATGATATTAAATGTTTAGGGTTTGGAAGAATCTGTTGAAGGTGCAGAGGTAATCCTGATTCAAGTGCACATAGCTATTCTT